CCTCACTCAGCCAGGTCGCTGCCGGTCTGTATGTGGGATCCGAACCCCTTGGCGGGGGTGCCGCCGCGCTCCCAAGCGGCGCACTGTAGCAGTGCGCCACCGGGCCAGCCCCCTTGAGGGAGCATCTTTAATATGAGAGTCCATAGAAGGATTAGAATCTCCAAAACTCTTTTTTTAAAGAAAAGTGTTCTTTATCTAAAAAATATTTTTAATCGATATATTATCATGTTATCATATTTTCACACCTAAAAAGTTAGCAATAATTCCTTAGTATCATCAACTATTCATTCACTGTTCAAATTTGATTTATACATTGTGATTGGTTTATATGTCTGAGTCTCTTTTAATCTATGGATTTACCCTCCATTTTTTTTTTTTAATTATGGAGATATTATTCATACCGTAAAATTGAGGCTTTTAAAGTGTACAGATAAGTGGTATTCAGTATATTTACAAAGTTTGGCAACCATCACCACTTTCTGAACTAAGAACATTTGTATCACCCCAAAAACAAACTCCGTGACTCCAAGGGTCCTGAAAAAAGGAAAAAAGACTTCATACCATTAGCAGTCACTCCCTATCTCCCCCCTCAGCCCCTGATAACCACTAATCTACTTTCTGTCTCTATGGATTTGTCTGTTATAGATATTCCGTATAAATGGAGTCATGTAAGATACGGCCTTTTGCATCTGGTTTATTTAACTTAGCATAATGTTTCAAAGTTCATCTGTGTTGGGCTGGTCCGTGGCTCACTCAGGAGAGTGTGGTGCTGATTATATCAAGGCCACAGGTTCGGATCCCATATAGGGATGGCCGGTTAGCTCATTGAGTGAGTGTGGTGCTGACAGCAATAAGTCAAGGGTTAAGATCCCTGGACTGGTCATCTTAAAAAAAATTTTTTTTTAAAGTTTATATGTGTTATAGCATGTATCAGTAGCATTCTACTATGAACATTCATGTACAAGTTTTTGTGTGGCACACCTTTTTTCTGAGGGATAATTTTGGAGCAAAAATCTTACCTTACTTTTGGACATATATGGCATATAAACCTTTAGCAAACCAGCACAGAGACTTAACCTGCTTGTCATCAGTAAGGTGAAGCAGCAACCACATTTTAATTTTTTTTCTTTTATTTTGCTGGACATATGTAGATGGTGGGAACATAAACTTCCTGTGATAAAGATTAATGTAAAAATGAATTTTTTAAGCACTTTAGTTTTAATTTTTTATACAAAACTCTTGTCTGATAATAAGTTTAGGTCAATTTCTTCTCCTTAGGAATTAGGGTGTTATTATTTGTGTACTAAAAGCTTATTTGAAGAAATATCTTATTTCACACTACTAATTTTTATTTTTTATTTTTTGTTTATGTTTTGTTTTGGCGACTGGCCAGTACAGGGATCGAACTGTGGACCTTGGTATTATCAGCACCACCCTCTAACCTACTGAGCTAATAGGCCAGCCCTCATAGTATTAAAGTTAAAGACGTGGAGAGGAGGATTTCTTTTGAGAATATGGGTCATACTTTTTTTTGTATTTTTATTCTTTTCCTGGGATCCTTTACTACCCCTTAGTTATATCTTCTTGCTTCATACCTGGGTGACGGAAAATTTATTTCTTTACTAAGTTTTTCTTTATGTATGTTATTGAAAAATAGGAGCAATAGCTTATTTTCCTCTACTTTGCTTTAGCTTCGTCTTATGAATTACATACTATAATTAAGAGAGTGATGAAGTAGAGTTTGAAAGTCAACATTTTAATAGTCATGTCACTAAATAACTGAGTATGTCATTGTATGGAAGATCTCCTGAGATGTTGAGAAACAGATATGAAGAAATAATTAATTAGTATTTATTAATACTTGCTGTTCCTGGCAGGTGCTGTTGGCAGCAGCCGTCTGCACAAAAGCAGGAAAGGCTATTGTTTCTCGCCAGTTTGTGGAGATGACCCGAACTCGGATTGAGGGCTTATTAGCAGCTTTTCCAAAACTCATGAACACTGGAAAACAACATACATTTGTTGAAACAGAGAGTGTAAGATATGTCTACCAGCCTATGGAGAAACTGTACATGGTACTGATCACTACCAAAAACAGTAATATTTTAGAAGATTTGGAGACCCTAAGGCTGTTTTCAAGAGTGGTAAGAGTCCTTCTGTAATATTGGGTTCCACTTTTTATTTGTTTTACATTTTTTCATGTAAAACTAGTTTTTCTCCCAAAGCAGGTGACGCTTACCAATTTGTAGGCTTTGCACCCTGCACCCCAGTGGCTTATTGTTGCTGGTTCTTATTCATGCAGCAGACATTTATTGGGTGCCCTCTTAGGTTACAAGTATCCCAAAAGGGAATATGGGCACTACCCTTTCATTTCCCAGTTCTTAAGCAGTTACTCTAATCTGCCTTTGTGGTTCTGACGCTTGTTTGGCCATGTTTTCAGATAAGACTTACAGACATAGACACACAGAAACACAAAGACTTTATGCCAAAGTCTTGCTTAAAATAAAGACTAGCAGGAGCTAAGAAAGGGATTCAGATTTATTGAAATTTGTGTACTTTAAAGGATAAGACTTGGAAACATAGTTGCTGATAAATTCTAAATCTTTCTTTTCCATTGCTGCCCATAATTAGATCCCTGAATATTGCCGAGCCTTAGAGGAGAATGAAATATCTGAGCACTGTTTTGATTTGATTTTTGCTTTTGATGAAATTGTCGCCCTTGGATACCGGGAGAATGTTAACCTGGCACAGATCAGAACCTTCACTGAAATGGATTCTCATGAAGAAAAGGTGTTCAGAGCAGTCAGAGAGGTAAATAAGGTCTTTTCTCGGACTTCCAGTTTGTATGTCTTTCTCTTAGGCTTCACTAACTAATCTGATTTTCCTATTTCTACTTGCTAACATAGATTGTACTCAAACTACATCCATGTATATCTTTTTCTGTAGACTCAAGAACGTGAAGCTAAGGCTGAGATGCGGCGTAAAGCAAAGGAATTACAACAAGCCCGAAGAGATGCAGAGAGACAGGGCAAAAAAGCACCAGGATTTGGGGGATTTGGCAGCTCTGCGGTATCTGGAGGCAGCACAGCTGCCATGATTACAGAGACCATCATTGAAACTGATAAACCAAAAGTGGCACCTGCACCAGCCAGGTATAATCCAGTATATTACCAGCAACCCTAGAATGCCAGATGAAAGGTGTACGTGTGTATTATTTCTGGAATGATATGTGATTTCTCGGCAACCTGTAAATAATGAGAGACTTGATGAAGTAAGATGTGATATTAAATTTGGCAACATATAATATGGGGATAAAGGAGAAATCTGAATGTGGTGTTTTTCCTTGTGTATAAAAGAGAGTTCTTTTACAAATTCTGCCATGACCTCAATTTTCTATGAAAGTTACCTCAGTTTGGGATAATTTACTCTTTATGGAATGTGGGATTTTTAATCTTAATGTTCAAGGATTTTAGGGGGAACCTGACCTCTCTGAAATTGTATATATTTTTTTAATTATAATTTTAAAATTTTGTTTGTGCACCGGCATATTTATCTGGATGGAAAAGTACAAAGTTTTCATCAGATCATGTGTTCTTATAAAAGTATACCTTTGGTCTTTAGGTAATAAAGCTTATATATTAATAGTAACTGTCTGTTGGCAGTTTGGGCAGGTTCATATATTACACTATGAATAGTCTAGTTGTTCACCAACACTAGAAAGCTTTTTTTTTTCCCCTTGAGGTGTTCACATTCCTCTTAAAGAACAGCTTCAGGGAAAGCTTCATTGATATGGAGTCATTAGTTAATGTTTTGGGGTTTTGTGTGTGTGTGTGTGTGTGTGTGTGTGTGTGTGTGTGTGTGTGTGTGTGTGAATTTTTTCTTATTTTGTATTCTTCCACTTAGGCCATCAGGCCCTAGCAAGGCTTTGAAACTTGGAGCCAAAGGAAAGGAAGTAGATAACTTTGTGGACAAATTGAAATCTGAAGGTGAAACTATCATGTCCTCCAGTATGGGCAAGCGTACCTCTGAAGCAACCAAAGTGCATGCTCCATCCATTAATATGGAAAGGTAAGTAGTAACTTTTTCAGTAAGAACAAACGTGGCGCACTCGGGAGAGTGTGGCACTGGGAGCGCAGCAACGCTCCCGCCGCGGGTTCGGATCCTATATAGGAATGGCCGGTGCGCTCACTGGCTGAGCGTGGTGTGGGTGACACCACACCAAGGGTTGCAATCCCCTTACCGGTCACGAAAAAGACAAAAAAAAAAAAAAAAATCTTACTTCAGTGTGCTATAAATTGTTTTGTACCTCTCAGTTTTGCCTGATTTTTTAAAAGATTTATTCAGAGGATATTCTAGGTGTTAACATAAGGTCTTTTTTTTTCTTTTTTCTTTAACCATGACTGAGGCTCTTAGCCACCTATTTTCTGAGAAGTTTAGAACTTGCCGTTTATCAGCTAAATAAAAATAACTTGTCTTCATGCTTAGTATGTAGCTTGTCTCTTAAAATGGACTTGAGTTAGAGCTATGATACCCCCACACTATATTTCGTCGTGTCTTTTCCTAATTAAACTATAAGGAGAATCAATCTTTAATCCATAATTTGTAAATATCTTTAACAGCAAATTAATATATTATCTTTTACCTTTTAAGTATTTGAACCCAGTGTAGAATATTTTGATTTGTCTCTTATCTCAGGGCTGTGGTAGTGGTTGGTGACATTTTTAAGTGGTACCTATCAAGTTCACTTATTCATGACTCAGATTTCTTGTCTTGAAGCCCAGACCTTCTACTGTTGCTGATGATTTTGAGGTCAAGTGAAAGATGAAACTGGGAGGATACCTCTATCAGGTGTGCATAAAAGAAGAGTATTTGCTCTTTATATGTCCTGTTCTGTATGAAATGAACAGGATTACATCGGGATAGATCTCTTGGACTCATTAAAGCTCCTATGCTATTCCTGGTAGTTGCTTTGAGTGAGACAGAGGCTTTACACTTTTAAAAAGGTGTTGGATACCATCACATATTAGAGCTTGAGGCTCTTTTATAAATGATGAAATATCTCTTGAGCACAGAAGGTTGTAAAGATGAAATAGGACCCTGCATTGTCTTAAGATACACTGCTTTGTGGTCTTGAGTGCCTTTGTTTCTGGGAAGACCTAAGAGGTTAGAACAGAGAACAGAGTAGTATACCAAAATATTCTTTGTAGCCTCTGCAGTTCACCCAGCTAAAAATAATTCTGTTATAGAATATGGATAGATTATACTTAATAATTGCCCATAGCAGCAGCACTTTTTAATTTTACTTATTTTTAAAATTAAGTTATACATTTATATAGTACAAAATTTAAAAGTTTCAAAAGTTTTACAGTAAAAAGTCTTCCTCCCACACAGCCATGCAAGTATCTTATTTTGGAGGCAACTGGTTTTAACTTGTTTTCATATGTATTCTTCTGAGGGGGATAATCTATGATGTATTGATGAATAAAAATATATGTATATATCTGTTTTTCACCTTTTTAAACAAAGCAGTAGCATACTAGATACGTTCTCCAATTGCTTTTTTCACTTAATTATTTTGGAGATAAGAATTTCCTTATTTGAAACTGTAGAGGCATAACATCTAAACTCAGACCTTACCCTAAACTGGATCCTGTACTACCGTAAATGACATTAGTAGGTCATCTGACAAAACTGGCATGTGAATGGTAGATAAAAGTATTGTGGGGCCGGCCCGGTGGCGCACTGGATAGTGCGCCCGCTTGGGAAGCACGGCGGCGCTCCCGTCCGAGGGTTCGGATCCCACGTACAGACTGGCTCCCGCTCACTGGCTGAGCGAGGCACGGGAGCAACGCCGAGGCTTGCGATCCCGTCGCCGGTCCCCGGTCCGGTACGGGGGCAACACTGAGGGTTGCGATCCGTTGCCAGACACGGAAAAAAAAGACAAAAAAAAAAAAAAAAAAGTATTGTGTTAATGTAAATTTATGAAGTGGATAATAATGCTGTGGTTGTGCAAGAGAATATCCCTGTTCTTACAAAATATACACTGAAGTATTTAGGGGTAAAGGGCCATGGTACATATAACCTGCCTCTTAATGGTTCCAGGGAAAAAATCAAATATATATACATATATAATATTTCATTTTTTAATTTCTTAAAGTTTGAAATGATTTTCAAGTAGAAAGTTTTTCAGTTGTTCTTTTTTTCCCCCCTCACAGCTGCCTAGTATTCATTTGTGTAGATATTCCTTTATGTATTTAATCAGCCTCATATTGATGGACATTTAAGTAGTTTCTAAACTTCTGTTACATACAATTCTTCAGTGAATGACTTAGTACATTGTTTTGCATGAGTGAGAATTTATCTGTAGGATAAATCTAGAAAGGAATTGCTGGATCAAAGGGTATTATGCTTTAAATTTTGATAGACATAGTAGCAACACTTTTAAAAAAGATGTTGTTGGGCCGGCCCGTGGCTCACTCGGTAGAGTGCGGTGCTGATAACACCAAGGCCGTGGGTTCGGATCCCATATGGGGATGGCTGGTTTGCTCACTGGCTGAGCGTGGTGCTGACAACACCAAGTCAAGGGTTAAGATCCCCTTACCGGTCATCTTTTAAAAAAAAAAAAAAAAGATGTTGTAGGGTTGGCTGGTTAGCTCAGTTGTTTAAGAGTGCAGTGTTATAGCACCAAGGTCAACGGTTTGGATCCCCATACTGGCTAGCCACCAGATAAATAAATAAATATAAAGAAAGAAGTTGTTGGGCTGACCAGTAAACTCATTGGTTAGAGTGCAGTGCTGATAATACCAAGGTCCAGGGTTCAATCCCTGTACTGGCCAGCTGCCAACCCTGCCCCCACAAACAAACAAACAAACAAATAAGTTGTTAATGGCTAATCACCATTAAACCCTGGAGAAAGGAAGTTCTGGTTTCTACCTTTCCAAACAAATTTATTACCTTTTCTTTATAGTGTGCATATGAAGATTGAAGAAAAGATCACACTAACCTGTGGACGAGATGGAGGACTACAGAATATGGAGTTGCATGGCATGATCATGCTTAGGATCTCAGATGACAAATTTGGTCGAATTCGTCTTCATGTGGAAAATGAAGATAAGAGAGGGGTGCAGCTACAGGTGTGTAGAGTCTTTTGATAGGGAGTATTAAGACTTTTGTCTACCCAGCACAGTCTTTCTCAACTAGTTTCTCATATGAACCACAGAACACAGAAAATTATTTAAGTTATATAACTGATGTCATTCTAGATGCATAGGAAAGATGTCAATATATTATATATAGTGGATACCTGAGAGTGATTGATAGCTGTTTTAGAATGGCTTTTTAATATTGAATGAAAGGTAATTTTGAAATCTTATAAATGACTTCATACTCACTAACAAAAGATACAAAGTTATGTTTATCTTTTATTATTATGTAAAGAGTAAATTCACTTAGGATCTTGCTTGAAATGCAGTTTTTTAAAAAGACGTTTTAAAACTTAATAAAGAAGTATTCTATTAAAACAGGCATAACACTAAATTTACTCATTTTGCTACTATATAAACTACCAGTGCTTATTTTGTTTGCTGGCAGGCAGTATCTAATGGTAATTTTGAAAAATGCATAAAAATCCTTACAAAATAAATATGTGTTCCAACTATTAGATATATTTGAGCTCTTCTTATCTTTATATTATTAGAGTAGTTCTTGTCACATTTTATTTAGGTGGTTGATCTTATATCTCTTATCACAAGAACAAAGATTTTTCAGGAAAGAATGTGTTTTTGTTTACTTTTTTCCCCCCGTAGTTAGCACAGAGTTGTCTTTTGGAAGTAGTATTTATATTAATTGACAACAGCTTTGCTGGCTCTTAAAATATTTGTAGACTGATGTCCAAAAGTGATTTCTTGGGCTGATTGGTTAGTTCACTTGATAGAGTGTGGTGCTGATAACACCAAGGTCAAGGGTTCTAATTCCTATGCTGGCCAATGGCCAAAAAAAAAAAGGTGATTTATTTTTCTTTTTTACTCCTTATCTGATTTCTTTTAAAAGATTGTACTATCTTAATTGGCCTGAGTTTGAACAACTTTAGCTCTCTAGGCTAAATTGCAAGTAAACTTTACACAGAGCTTTTCTCTCTTCTGCCATTTTATGTAAGGCCAAAACTATTGTCTCACCCAGGCAGTTGATTATCGTGTGACCCAGTCTTCTGCTTGGCAAGCTTGGCTCCTCCCTATGTAGTATATTTGGAAAGGACTTGGTTAATGGTCCTTGACTTTTTGATAACAGACTTGTTCCTTAATGGCTTTTAGAGTTGAAAATAATTTTTTTTAATTACTAGTTTGTTTTTTAAAAAAGATGACCAGTAAGGGAATCTTAACCCTTGACTTGGTGTTGTCAGCACCACGCTCTCTCAAGTGAGCTAACCAGCCATCCCTATATAGGGATCCAAACCCGTGGCCTTGGTGTTATCAGCACCACACTCTCCCAAGGGAGCCACGGGCTGGCCCTAATTACTAGTTTTTAAATGTCTTAAAACTTTTTTAAAATCTTGGAAGAAGGGAAATTTTTCTTTAAAATCATAAAGAATTGGAATTTGTGAGGTACCCTGTGTTAGATGTTAGATTGTAGACCACGTAAGCCCACATAAGGTTTATTTCCTGTCTTATGTTTGAACCTCAGAAGTTTTCCTCCCCTTCTCATTCCAGACGCATCCAAATGTGGATAAAAAATTGTTCACTGCAGAGTCTCTAATTGGCTTGAAGAATCCAGAGAAGTCATTTCCAGTCAACAGTGATGTAGGGGTGTTAAAATGGAGACTACAAACCACAGAGGAATCTTTTATTCCACTGACAAGTAAGTGCCTCTGTCCAGTCCCACTAAGCTAGTCTTCACTGAGAACTAGACATAGTCCTGACTTGTATGCTGTTATCTTTATTGCCATAGCAAAGTTCTCTTTGACAAAATGACCTTCTTTCAGAATGGACTCAGTGCTATATTTTGTATATTTTAATCACTGGCTTTAATTTTTAATAGCTTTCATTTTGAAGGTTGTTTTTAATAAGGTTTATATTAGAATGTTTTAGGCTTGCAGCTATCAGTCAGCTTTGATTTGCCACCTTAACTTAGCTCTTTTTCTACCGTTCTAGTAAGACTCTGCTTTTCTCCTCAGTTAATTGCTGGCCTTCAGAGAGTGGAAATGGCTGTGATGTCAACATAGAATATGAGCTACAAGAAGATAATTTAGAACTGAATGATGTGGTTATCACCATCCCACTCCCGTAAGTGTTGTTCCCCACATAATCATGTTCCCTACATTGGGCTTGTAGAACTGGTCTTTTGGAACTTGTTTTAGAGGCAATATCTTTGGTTGTCCATTCTAAGATATTAGCTTCTTAAAAAGGCCAGTTATGAAAGAAGCCAGACACAAAAGGCTACGTACTATTCTACTTCTTCGACTTTCTGGAAAAGATAATACTCTTGAAACAGAAATCAGGAAGTAGAAAGGAAGGTACTTGACTGCAGTGGGGCACAAGGGAACTTTGGGGGATGATAAAAATGTTCTGTTATTTGATTGTGGTGGTGCTTACAAGACTGCATACATTTGTCAAAATGCTTTGAGCTGTATACTTTGAAAGGGGTGGATTTTACTGACTTTAAAACCAAACCAAACAAAAAAGTCAGTTGTAGGTATGGAGCCATGTTTTCAGATGTTCGTGTAGTTATGAGGATTTCCAGAAGGAGGAGCCACTTCTCAGTTAAACTTTCTCTGTTTTTTGTTTGTTTATTTGTTTTGTTTTTTGTTTTTTGGCAGCTGGCTGGTATGGATATCCAAACCCTTGCCCTTGGTGTTATGACACTGTACTCTAACCAACTGAGCTAACCAGCCAGCCCTCTCTGTTTTGTTTTGGAACTTTCAAAAAAATTGAGTGTTATCAGGCTGAATTTTTTTTTTTTCACTTGCTCTCTCAACTTTTACAAAAGATGAAAGTATATGTTCAATGGAACTATTGGTTCTTGCTGAAACAAGATATCAACATTAGTTTCGGTAAATTTCCTGACAGCTTTATTGAGGTGTAATTGACATACAATAAACTACACAGATTTATGTAGTGCAGTTTGATAAATTTTGACATGTATGCACTTGTGAAACCAACACCACAGTCAAGATAATGAAAATGTCCACAAGCTTAGTTTCTTTAAGGTTTTGTTCTACACTTAAATGGCCTACTTTTCGGCTGGCCAGTTAGCTCACTTGGTTAGTATATAGTCCTGATAACATCAAGGTCCAGGATTCAATTCCTGTACCAGTCAGCTGACAAAAAAAAAAAAAGGCCTTCTTTCTAGGATTATCTAGAAATACTCTACATTAAGTTTATCTACTTGGTCGCATTTCCTGTGAGTGTTCTTTATTTTACTTCACCAAAGAATCCTAGCTCCTCTCTACCCCTCCAGCCGCCCATGATTAAGTACAGAGTTTAATTATGAACACCAGTAAGTGTATTCTTAATGTATCTTTACTATTATATTGCTCAGTTATTATTGCAGGGAAAATGTCACTAATTTAATTTGTAGTTTTGTTCACTTTTTGATAATTCAGGTCTTTACATAGTCAGGTCTGATTTTGGTCATTTTTATTTCCATTTTCAAAAATATACTTTATTACCAATATCCCCTTTAATAGGATAAACTCTTATTCTGCATACATGGATCTTTCAGAACAATAGATGGCTTCCTTGAACCATTGTAGGACTTGGGCGTTGGTGGCAAGTGGGGTTTTGTTTGTCAAGATTTATTTTACTAGACTATTTTTAGGATGCCACAATTTTTAGGCCTTTCCATCTACTCTGTAATTGTGGTTGTGGTGGTTTCCTGTGTCTTAGTTCAGTTTTGCGATGGTCTTCAGAAGAGACCCTTAGACAACATTTTACCCCATTGTGTAGAAGAGATCAGAATCAGAATTAGAGCAAGGGCACAGAGGAGGAACATAAAAGAACCAGGACCATAAAACTGATAGGGAAGACTTAATAGACTTATGCCACCCTTAACGTTTTCTTTGTCTCTCTTATTTACCCTGCCCATAATACAAGCACTGAGCCTCACTGGTGAATTAAAAGATCGTAAATTTAGAATGTGTAGGAGTAGGTGACACTGACTGTCAGCCACGTGTGGGGATGCAGAATACATCCTAACTATCTCTGGTTCTCTTGCAGATTAAGGACAACTATGTATCTCTTTCTCCCATCATGTTTCCATTTTGCCTGGGGGTAATTGTGCTTTCATTTATCAAATAAAAGTCCGTTTACTGGATTGTAAATGAAATAAACTCACTGGTGTCAACTTCAATAAATTTTGAAACACTCTGAAATCTTTTGAAAATAAATCTTCTCAAAGGCCCCAAATCATCTTCACTAATGGCATTTAAAGTTGCCCCCCACTATTATCAACCTTCTTTTTCCCCCAGTGTCACCTATAAAGAGAGCTGTATTACGTTAAAATTCTTTCTTGACAGGACAACAAACCATTGCTGCAAGATTTTTGGAAAGATATCCCACTTCACACATTTGTCAGTCTCAGTGCCCTGCTAGCTCCCAGATGTAGTCCATGAGTTGGAGCAGCCACTGGCATATCTGCTAAGTACCTATTTTGCATATACCTGTGGGATCCTTAGCCAAGGTGCTAGGACTTTGATCTTCGAAGTAATAGGGAGCCTAATTTTTTCTAGGACTGCATAAAAATTACAGTCCTAGAGGGCAGAATTTGAGGAGCATAATCAAATTTGGGGTTGGTTTTCTTTGGAGTTCTTCTAGCTCTAGACAGCAAACTTAACTCATGTTTCTCGTGACAGATCTGGTGTTGGCGCACCTGTAATTGGTGAGATCGATGGGGAGTATCGACATGACAGTCGACGAAATACCTTGGAATGGTGCCTGCCAGTGATTGATGCCAAAAATAAGAGTGGCAGCCTGGAGTTTAGCATTGCTGGGCAACCCAATGACTTCTTCCCTGTTCAAGTTTACTTCATCTCCAAAAAGAATTACTGTAACATACAGGTACTCTATTTTAATAGAGAGCACACAGGGAAAGCAGTAGGACAGATGCCACATAGATGCATGACTTCATGTTCAGAGCAAAAATCAGAAAAACTAAAGTCCTCTGGGGATTCTGTTTCTGACTCATTGTGTGATCTTAGTCAAATTCCTCACCTGCTTTACCTCAGTTTGCCTATCTAGATCTGACAAAGTAAAGGAATTGAATATGAATACATTTAAAAGTATTTTTATATATTTAGTTGTCTATTTTTTAATCTCATGTCTTTTAAAATCCATTTGCCAAAAACACCCAATACATGATTTTTTAATGCTTTGCTGTCACTTGGTTTGTACCCAAGGAATGGAAGTTTTTTATTTGGAAAGTAAAATTACTGCAGGAAAGAAATGATTCTAGGGTTGGCCAGTTAAGTCAGTTTGTTGGAGCACCTTGTAATACCAAGGTCAAGGGTTTGGATCCATTTACTGGCCAGCTGCCCCCCAAAAATGTGATTCTTATATAAAATGGAAACAATTTTTGGATTATTTATGTCACTGCCCCCTTCATTAGTACAAGTAATCACAAGCCAATTCTGTTGCAAACCCTGTCTTTTACTAAGGTAAAGCAATGGAAATGTGTGAACTGTTCCTTTATGTCATTATTTTTAACTCACTGTTCCTCCAGTTTTTGAAATTGCATTACTAGTTTATATTGTTATCCTCCTCTCTTTTTGACTTGCTTGTTATTCTGGTGCTGTCTTATCTTCCCACATGGTCTCTGTCTCCCCCATAAGTGCTTGGGAAGTTATAGTTTCCTCTGCTAGATGATTTTAAAAAGCAGTTCTGGCCAGCCCGTGGCTCACTTGGGAGAGTGTGGTGCTGATAATACCAAGGCCACAGGTTCGGATCCCAGATAGGGATGGCCTGTTAGCTCACTGGGTGAGTGTGGTGCTGACAACACCGAGTCAAGGGTTAAGATCCCCTTACCAGTCATCTTTTAAAAAAAAAAAAAAAAGTAGTTCTCTCTCAGTTAGTGGTAGGAACCCATCAGTATTGGGAGCTACTTTATCGAACCCAATATATTATGTAGGAATGGATACATTTTCCTGTTTGGGACCATTGAAAGATTAGGACAGTATAACTGCTCTCTCAAAACTTAATTAGAAAATATAAATTGGTGGTTCAAGTGTTGTGTTGATGCCATTATAGGTACCATTGTTATAGGTAACTAAACTGTACATTTATTATTAAAAAATAAAATAAAATAACCCAGCCATGCCTAGAAAATAAGTATAATGGAGCAGCTTAGTGGGCCTTTGGACACTTTGAGTCTTAGAGAGACTTGGAGAGCAGATCAAAGGAATGATGTTGAAGAGTTAATAACATTGCATTTTGGGTCAAAATGTTAATCAATCATCCTGATACAATGTCTATTAATTTCATAGTTTTTATAGGGCTGGGCTGTGGCTACTTATTTTGGAGTTTTTACTTGCTATTAATACCACTCTATATCTCATCCCAACAGGTGTCTTTTCTCTATCTAGAGAGGAGATTAATCATGTTGGTGGGGAAGAGTGACACTATGAGCTGCAGTTGCGAACTGAACATTTTTTAGTATTTCTGAGTTACTTTTAATACTGCTTTTAGGGGATTTGATCTGTTCTGTGATGAAAATTTAGTCAGCACTTTGGAGACTAAGCCTTCTCCTTCTTTACCTAATTCATTGTTTATTTTCCTAGGTTACCAAAGTGACCCAGGTAGATGGAAACAGCCCCGTCAGATTTTCCACAGAGACCACTTTCTTAGTGGATAAGTATGAAATCCTGTAATACCTAGAAGAAGGAACCGAAAAGGAAAATCTTCAGATTAATAAAGAAGTCAACGGTGGCTGAAGAGTTTTTTCCAAATTTACGAGCCATTGGAGATCCTTTTTTTTCTGATAACAATGCACGATTATCTGCGCCAAGGGCCCTCTCAACTCACCCCCACTGTTTCAGTGTCACAGAGACATTCTTTGACAAAGAAATGACACAAACATAAAGGGAAAGGCTGCTGATTTCTTTGGCAGATTTTACTGGCCAGCAGGAAAGCAAGCTCTCCAGAGAATGCCACCAATTAAACACCTCTACCTTGCCTAAGTTGCTCCTTTATTTTAATCTCTAAATATAGTTATATTTCATACTTACTTTTTTTTTTTAAGTTTTCTCTATGGAAGATTTTAATCTGTCTTACTCCTTTCCTTTACCTTCAGTTTTTCCTTTGTATACATTCAGTCAGCACTGGGATCGTTTATGTACAGGTATTGTGTTTGCTTGGCACTCCTAGAACAAGTTTAACCCATTCTTAATTTTTGGGTTATGCAGGTGAAGTGTTTAAGGGGTATGGGGTCTAAAAGTTAAAAGATAAGGGCGTCTTCTGTCCTTTTCTCAACGTACATTCATCCCTTCATTACTTTGTCAAGTTGATTTCCTTTCAGGACCTGTCCCTCCAGTTTAGAATAGTACTGTGAATCCCACTTGTCAATATTAAAGATAGCTAAGAAGCAGCTTTCAAATGGCACAGCTTCCTCTTCAAGATGTGTGGGAGGAGAATGGTTATGTCCAGTTAGGGATTTCATGTCCTCCTGTAATCGTGTCTGCTGCTAGTGCTACCCAAGCTTCCAGTTTTCTCCATCTTGGGTACTTAAGCTAAAATGTGGCAGCTCACAGTCATAATCCATTCATATATGCCTCAGTTTTACTACCTCCCTCTTCCTTGCTGCTCACTCTGTTGTCAGTCTTTTCTAGCAGAAATTGAAGTTATGATTTTGGAGGCTGTGGGTTCAGTGAGTCTTTGTGCCAATCCCACTGGCCCTGAACTATCAAGAAGACTCCATTTCCATCACTAGATTTTTAGCATTTCAAAAGACAGCTGATTATATTAATATGTAGGGATTAGTCATATATACTCCATTCCCTTCCAGCCTGCTGAACATTTTCCATCAGCCTATCTGTCCCTATCTCTGAAATCCTCCCTTTACCTCCCCCTAAGCCTTTTTTGAGTGTCATGTAGTGGTTGTTTCTTAGCTCCATCTCATCTGCTTTTTCGGTGGAGACTACATTAGCCAGCCCATCCTTGGCTTTTAAACCAGTATTGTACTCAATAGGGTGGGTGAAGATTTGCTATGAGGCAGCAGGCCCTGGCAGTGGGAAGAGGCAGGTGATTATAGATGACCTCCTGCACTTTTAGCTGGTTGGAGAGTACCACTTCCACTCTGAACAACATCTGGTCTTCCCTGCAAACTTGAATTAAAGCAATCACACACAAATGGCCATGGATGGAATTGCTTGCCAAAGAAATTTCTGGCCTTTCCCTTTCCCCTAACCGCATCAGGGAAGAATCCTTATCTCTAGCTTGGTTTCCACATGAGGTTTTTCTGAGGAAGGGGAGTGGGGCAAGAAGTCTGTTGGGTAGTTAAGTAGGCAAAATATTAATCCAGTTTTGTTTGAGAGTTGCTCGTCCATGTGATTTTTAAGGAGTCAAGTTTAATTTCACAAAAACTTTTTTTTTCTGAAATTACTTCTGGGGTAATATTTAAAATAAGAGATGTTTTGTAACCCTGTAAAATACATAGGGAATATAACATTCCAGTGTACACAAAGAAGGCAAATTCTTTAATAATAATCAAATAAAGAGTATTATAAAATGAGTTGTTTATTGGACTCTTGACTCACACTTCGGTGTCTGCTTGCCGATCCAGGGTGTTGTAATGGGATCTAAAATTAAAAATTAACGATATGGGTTTTTTTTGTCTTTTTCGTGACCGGTAAGGGGATCGCAACCCTTGGTGTGGTGTCACCCGCACCGCGCTCAGCCAGTGAGCGCACTGGCCATTCCTATATAGGATCCGAACCCACGGCGGGAGCATCGCTGCACTCCCAGCGCTGCACTCTCCTGAGTGCGCCACGGGGCCAGCCCAACGATATGTTTTTTTTTTTAAGAGAAAATACTCTCTATCCAGGAGTATTCATTGACTTTTCCCCATATTATAGGTACTGTGCTTCCTTTTATGTTTTTCTGCATTTGAGCATGTACATACACACGTGTGCTCCTAAGCGCATAGCTTTTGAGTTTTATGTAACTTATGTCCTTTTGGGGAATTGGAGTCTTAATTTTATTGGGGGCAGTTGTAGAGTCAGAAAAACGAGGCTTCATCTTTAAAGAATAACATTTGGTGCTAACTTGGAGCCTTCTTTTCCCCCTTAGACAGTAGGAAGTGATCTGGGGATGAGTGATGAATGCCTTGGGAATTGTTGATAATTCCTTCAGAAATGGCTTCTTGCTTGCCTCTGCCTCTTTTTAACTTAAGTTGGAAAGACTGTTGGATATCAAGTTGTTTGGAAGGCAAATTACTCTCCATAATGAATAAGTGGAATGAAAAAGTTTTTATTTTAGTGGTGAAAGCCAAGACTTTGAGTGTTTATCTCTTAATGAAATAGAAAGTATCTGGTCTAATGTTGCTTGATTTGTGGCTTGGCTCCTTGAAACTGTAACCTTAATCTAATGAAATGAACACCAAAACCATGCCACACCCCCGACTGGCTGCTAATACCTCTTCAGCATCAAGTGGACTTTGTTGGCCTTTTGTGAGGGAGACTAGCAAAATAATTAGATCTGACTGAGCATTCTCTTTAATGTAGGAGGCTTGTGGTTCCTGCTCTGGATTAATTAATTCCAGTTAGAGGAAGTAGGAAACACACCTTCTCTGGGCAGCAGTTCCTTTTTATTTTATTTTATTTTTTAAAAAAGATGACAGGTATAGGCCGGCCCATGGCTCACTCGGGAGAGTGTGGTGCTGATAACACCAAGGCCCCAGGTTCGGATCCCATATAGGGATGGCCGGTTGGCTCGCTGCCTGAGTGTGGTGCTGACAACACCAAGCCAAGGGTTAAGATCCCCTTACCGGTCATCTTTTAAATAAAAAAATAAATAAATAAAGATGACAGGTAAAGGGATTCCATGCATCTCTTGACAGGGAAAACTGCCCTGCAATTTAAAGTTGTTCACACTGTGTAGGGTCTGAGAGATTTCCAGGGTTGATAACAGCCTTTTATTAAAGTTCACATCTAGCAGGGCTTATTGGAAGGAGATAGGAGAAAAATAGAAAAAGTCCTCATCCTCAAGATTAAAGTCTAGAAGCAAAGACTACCTTCTTACAAGGCCTTTTTTTGTAAGCTAGACAAGTGACGACTACATACAACTAGTGATAGTGAATGTGGGTCTCCAGGGTGGGGAATAGGGCTTGCATCTTGCAGCCTTCGGAGGAATCTCAGACAGAGGCAAAAGCTCAGAACTGAGTCCTTTTTACTGTGCTCATCTGTCATTGCACCTTCCCCCCACCCCCATTCCCTCTCCTTGTCCCATTTGGGAAGTAAATTTATATTTGCAGCTCTAGAGCTTCTTTGAAACTCCGGAAGATCCACAAGTAGATTGGTTGCTGTGTGTTGCTATTACCCAAGGGCAGACAGCATCTCTGCAAGTGTCAGTCTTACATCTTACACTGGGGAGTTAGCAATTGATATGGAGGCTGGAGGAAAATTAGGTCTTTAGGGAAATTAGACTGCCTTTCCAAACCAGGTTGTGTTCACTCTTTCAGAAACACAAGAAGTGAAGCTACCAGGCAGTTTTTAGAAGCTTGGGCCACTCATCACCCACTGCTATGGTCTGAATGTTTGTCCCCTCCAAAGCTCATGTGGAAGCTTGATCCCCAATGTGGCAATGTTGGAAGGCAGGGGGCCTTTGAGAGGTTATTGGTCAAGAGGGCTATGCCCTTATGAATGGATTAATCCACTCATGGATCAATGTGTTAAACGATCAATGGATTATCATCAGAGTGGCAGTAGTGGCTATATAAGGAGAGAAAGTGAGCACATTAGCATGCTATTTCCCCTCACCATGTGATACCCTGTACCACCCCGGGACTGCTGAGAGTCCCCACCAAGAAGTCCATCACCAGAGGTGCCTCTCAACCTTGGACTTCCCAGCCTCCAAAACTGTAAGAAATAAATTTTGTTTCTTTATAGATTACCCAGTTTCAGGTATTCTGTTATGAACAAAAGAAAATGGATAACACACCAACCGAAAAGGAAAAGTTTTTTGCCCTGCTGTTCATAGGTCAGGGGGGTAAGTGGTTATTTAAGGTTTAGTCCAATTCTAGAAAGCTCCCCTAGCTGTATTCTCTGTGATTACCAAACCAGGATGGGCTATTTGAAAGAGATATTACAAATTCAAGGCAATGAGAAAAATGGAAACAGGTCTTTTTCCCCATTCTTTTGCCCATATGAATCCTTGTTCTTTTCAGCTCATAGGAAGGTCTTGAGCCACAGAGGTTAACAAGACCAGTCTTCTGTTCTACCCAAATTTCTCAGTCAGCTTGGATGCATATTAGCTTTTCTAAAACACGCTGAGAAAAGAGCTTCTGCTCCTTTGTAGCTGCTGAAGCAAGGTTTGAGCTCTTTCTCAAGTTGGGTGAAGCAAGGAGTTTCTTGGCATCATTACTGCCACCACACCTACACTAATGATGCCTGAGTTTGGGATCCAAAGAGGCCAAAAAGGGATAGCTTTCTGGGAGACGGTGTTTATCCATTGGGATTGCTTGCTGTATGAGCAATAACACCTTTCCGGGGCTAGAGGGAGTACAATTTGAAAAGAGGGACAGAGTGGGAAATGTGCCAAAGCAAAGCCATAGCCAAGTGCAGAGGGCCTTAAAAAATCCACTCTTCCTTCCACACCCAGCCTTTGCCCTCTCCCCCTGCTTCCACTTTGGAAAGTCTGAAGCATGCCTGGAAGGCTGTTTTCTGCTTTCTTTCCTCTCTTCCTCCCCCTTTCCTGAGCTCCCAGCTGCTCGACCTCTTGCGTAACTGTGAGAGAGCACTGAGTTTTTTGATGGGCTCCAGATGTTGAGTGGGGTGGGGGTGGTAGGTCTTTAGTCCCCTGAGTGCTGTAACTGTGGGAACACAGAGGCCCGACACAGCAGGAGAGAGGACACATTGCACAGAGCCTTTATCATTGGGTCAGCTGGTCCCTGGGTTGGGAGGATAGTGAGAGAAGTTGGGTGCTGTTTCAACCCCTTGCCTCAGCATCAGCTGCCTCTGTGGCAGGTTTGATTATGCCCTGAAATTCCTCCTGACCAAGACAGTAAAGAGGAGCTGCAGGTTGTGAAACAGAGGAGTGAAAAGTCTCTGAGGTACCCCAATCTGAGCCCCTCCTTTCAAATGCTTGGTTTTGGCATATGGGATACAACAGTTGTGCTTTCTTTCTTTCTTTTCTTTTTTTTTTTGTGCACCAGAATAGCGTGAAAATTACTGTTGTGATCTGCCTCATGAATATTGGGCAGAATTAAAATACTTTCAAACAGTACGAAGAGAGGAAGAATAAGAGGTTTGCCCCAATTCCTGGGGTTTCCACAGAGTATGCTGGAACCTGATTGTTCTACCTCCATTAGCTATAGCAGGTTAGCAGTATAGAGCACCCTCTCCCCTCCCCCTTCTTGTCCACTGCTTGGCTGCTGTCAGCTCCAGCCTCCAGCCTTGGGGGGCCCCCTGCTAATACTGGCCCTGTCAATGAGTGACCAGAGATTCCTGCAGTTCAGTCCCCTGCTGAACCTGGGTTAGGCAGAGAGGGTACAAACTAAAGCCACTGAATCAGAACATGATTTGTTTGTCCATTCCAAAGAGGACAAATTGTTTTTTGCTCTACACCCAGCTGAGATTTAGACCAGATTGGGGGGCTTTCGCTCCTTCTTTCAGTGCGGAAGAGTCTTGGAGGTCCCTCTAGTGCAGGTTAAAGAGGTCCAGTCTAGTTGAATTCAGCTCCCAAGGGCCTCCCCAGCCAGTCTCCCGGGGCAAGAGCTCGCTTTGCAAGGTAAGGATCCACTGTCAGTGTTAGATTTCGGGGTGGGAGCTGAGATGGAGAATGACTTCAACCAGGCTGTTTCTCGGGTGCTTTTAGGTGTTTAGTGCCCCCTTTTCTTTATTAACCCCTGCTCCTACAGGGACCCAACCTACAGGATGGTGTGCTCAACTGTATGTCTACAGTCTGATCTGTAAACCAGCAGGTCGGTCGTGGGGGTGGAGCTACATGGGGCAAAGGATAATTCCATTCAGCTTTCCTGTGCTTTACAGTTTGCATGGCACTTTAACATACCTTCTTATACCTATCCTTAGGAAAGTCTGTGAAGCCTCATGTGCAGGGTTATCAACCCTATTTACAGCTCTTCATGATGGGGCTTGGTGAGAAGGGTGAGGAGACGGGGTGACGGGGGAAGACCTGGGTAGCCCTCGGTAGGTGTTCTGGAGATGTTGACAGCATGCTATAGGGGCTGCGAATAGTAGATTCACTGGAAGCCAATGGAGGTTTCAGGCATCTAAGGTAAAAAGAAAAGGCAGGGGGCACGGAGGAGAGAGAAAGAAAATGTCAAAAACATCTTCTCAGCAGAGCATTGACGCCTAGGGGTGGAGGTGGTCTAGGAGAGTCCGAAGGGGAGGGTGGGGAGGAGGGGTGTGTGGTGGCGGTGGTGGAGAGCCCAGCTGTAGAGATGAACAAAGCGGGCGCTGTGCAGGCGGGGGGAGGTGCTGCTGTGGGAAAGGGTGGGTGGGGGACCTTGGGCTCCAGTCTTCTCTGGCTG